CCCCCCCCCCCCCCCCCCATCCGTCCCTGCATGCTATTCTAATCCATCATTTTGTGGGAAAATTTCAGTTCAACGTTATAACAAGTTCATATTTTATTTTAAAATCACATTTATTCGTTATTTTTGTTAAAATTAGTAAACAAAAAATAGAGAAAAGAAAGGAGGTTATAGTTTTTGTTCAATTACCAAATGAAATACACGGGAAATAAGTTTTATATAGTTCTGCTAGCAAATAAGGTAAAAAAAATCTATTCATAAAGTACAAATAATTAATATTTTTAATATCTCTCGTATAACTCATGATGTTGCTGTAAGAAGCATCAAGAGTTTGCCAAACAAATAACAAAATAACGAGTTGAGTTGTGACTTCGTAAACTAGTCAACAATCTGCATGGAGGAAAGAACAAAATTAATGTGAGAGTGCTAAGCTACTGTTGATGCTTAGTGACATATGTTTTGTCTATTCATGAAATATTGAATGGCACATAACACTCATATTGCCACCATACAGTGGAATATGTCGGCGAAGAAATATTCCAATATTTGCAAGCAACCAACGTTACCTAACTATCTCATATGTAGTTGAAACCATGACACGATATTCCACTTTTGTTGAAGATCTAGAAACAATATTTTTCTTCTTGTTCTTCCAAGAAATAAAGGAATCACTAAGACCCTAAAGTCAGTGGTAGACTGACGATATGTAGGATTACTAGTTCAATCAGAATTAGAATATGCTTCAAACTCTAATGATGAAGTGGATGGAAGGAAAATAATTTGAAATTGAGTGCCTTGAAAATACCTCAAAACACAAAATGCAGTAACCCAATGAACTATAGTAGACAAGATAACAAACTAACTAATTATATGAACAATACGTATAATATCTGGACGAGTGATGGTGAATAAACCAAATTACAAATAACAATATAAACTAGATTCGATAATGGAGAACTATTAGGACGAGAATACCAATCGTTAAGCTCGAGGATGGCTTCAAAACATGGATGGTACCTTAAGTCAAAAAATTTAAATGGATTGGCAACTCAAATAATGAAGGTTTGTCAGAAATTGCTTGCGACGCAAATCTAGGTTATATCGTAATTATTAAGTTATGTTTGGCCCCATTAAATTTTAATTCATTTTTTTTCTTTTTATTAACCACACATCTCTCAATAAAAAAATATTACACATAAATAAAAAAATTTTCTTACTTTTTAACCACACGTTCTTCAAAAAATATTATTCCAAAATCAAATATTTTATTTTTCAAATAATAAAGCTCAAACAAGGGCTAAAAGTGCCAACATGCATTTTACATGCCATATTGGTTGAATGTACAGAGTCAATTCATTGGACACACTTATTTTAATAGTGTGTATATTGAATCCCATGTTCATATCACTGCATGGTTTTATACGTGTAAACATCTATGACTAAAATGTTAATTATGTACTTTAGTTCATGTGCACATGAAAACCTCAATCCCTAAAATAATCTCCTATAGGCACAATTAGGGGCGGACGCAGACTTCTTAAACAGGGGGGAGGGGCACAATCAAATTTTCAAAAACTGACGAAAAAATCAAAATAAAAGATATTTTATTACAACTGTTTTCTACGTGTTCGCATATTTTGATAAGTTCCATAATTACATTATTCTTAATCTTGTCAGATACATCTTTCTCAATATATGCAATCATACTATCATTCAACCATTGATCTCTGATTCGATTGCGCAGATGGTTTTTGACATAAGTTATCGTAGAAAATGATCTCTCGACTGTAGCAGTAGCCATAGGAAGAACTAAAGCTAATGTCACA